AGCAAAATCACAGATTTATGGACTTTGGGGAACTAGAATAATCATTTAGAAATCATTTAAATGAGTGATTAGAAGCATCACTACTTTCAGACAAGAATGCAGGTCTCCTGAGTCCATGTCCATGTAATTATTCATTAGTTTTTGAAATCTAACAAATATATTTTAAGTAAATAATGGTCTGAATTATATCTATATAGCCTTATTTATGGTCATATCAACATCAGACATCAGACTAAAACTGAGTTTTACCTGCTCGTGCTTTAGCTGGGTTCATTGATAGAAATTCTATATTTTCTATGTCATTTTTCTTTGAAGTGTTGTGAAAATGACCCAATTGGCCCAATTGGGCCAATGTAATTTTGGAATAGAATACATTTCCAATCTGTTTGAAACATATGCTTTTTAAATTGCTAGGAATTCTTCTCCTTAGTTAACTAAAAAGTCTTTTGTTGCCAAATCTATAGCTGGACTACTCCCAAGAAAACTATTCTTCCCCATATCTGGCCTTATCTCTTGACAGAAATCTCTAAATAATGTAGTAAAATACAGAAAGTATTTGATTTTATGATCAAATTGGAATAAATGAGTTATCATCAACTATGACCAAGAATGAAGTTGAGTGGGATGGTCTGAATGTTTGTATGCCCCAAATTCATGAGTTGAACCTAATCACCAATGTAAAAGTATTGGGAGATGGGGCCTTTCAGGAGGTGATTATTTCCTGAGGGCAGAGCCCTCACAAATGGGATTAGTACCCTCATAAAGAGTCCCAGGAGAGCCTACTTGTCCCTTTCACCTGCCGAAGACACAGGGAGAAGGTGTCTTCTATAAACCAGGAAAGAGGCCCTCATCAGACCCCAAAACTGTCAGTGCCTTCATCTTGGACTGCCTAGCCTCCATAATTGTAAGCAATAAATTTCTGTTGCTTATAAAGCCACTCAGTTTATGATATTATGTTATAGCAACCCAAATATACTAATGTGTAGACTCAGATCTCTTGCTGTACACAATCAGAAGCAATGGACATGCTCTTGCAGAAGGAAACTTTCACAAGGTTAGCAAGGTTGTAGCAGAAGAGCCTCTCTGGACTATGGCTTAGTGTGGCTATAGGTGGTCATAGATCTCACACCCTGAGCCGCACATCCTCTGGGATGAGAGGACTTCATCTTCAGACACAGCTACTCAAAGCAGATGTGTGTATATGATTCTCTACCTCCAAGAGATCAGAAATATCATGCTTTGGTTGCAGATCTTTTAAATCTTGAGTGCTATTTACTAGATAATAGACCCAGGGATATCTACACCTCTGAAATATATCTTTTTTTTCCTTTCCAAATTTCATTGGAAATTTTTCAAACATACAGACAAGTTGAGAGAACAACACAATGAATACCTACATACCCACCATGCAATTCAACTGGGATATATTTTGCTATACTGCTTTCTCTCTTTATTACATTTTAATACCCAAAAAGTTCACTATGGAAAACCCTAGGAAAGAAACTCACTCAGATCCTGTGAATGACTGGCCCTCCCTCACCCTCCAGCCAACCTTTGTTTGTCTCCATGAGAAGGGAGTTTAAGTTAGTCGTTGCCTTGAATTCACAAGACATTCAGCTCAGAGGCGTTGTTCTACCCAATTTTTGGTCACTGCCCTGATATTTAAAGCGTTCCCTGTGCTCTCCTTCTACATCCAGGTTTCATGGTTGCCTTTCAATTTGCCTCATCCAGAATGATAAACTTTGCCACTACCTAGTTCTCTACAATGATCTTGCCTGTGCCCCAGAAATCCACCCAACAGAAATCACTCCCTAGTACAGTGTAACTGATATGAACCTCAGGACCTAAAGATGTACCTTCCATAGAACACTCAGGCCTACTTTTCTGTAGGGTCTTACTCTATCAATCAAGAATAAAGTCTGTATCTATGGACTCAATAAAAGTTGTTTCCATCTAACTTTTCTAATCCTGTTTTCCTGTGTGTGATCTCAAGTGATTCCTCCAATTCTTTATTCCTACCTTGCCAGCACATAAAGAGCAAGACGGAATGGAGAAAAGCAACATCTTTGCATTCAGACAACTAAGCTCAACTACACTCTCTTGCACAATGGCTGTGGAACTTGCTACACAAGTTTCTTCACTTCTGCAGGTAAGATGCACAAAATAATAACTCATTTTGTAAGGCTAAAGTTAATATTGGATGAGATAATATATGCCAATTTCTGGCAAAGCGACAAGTGCATGCTAAGTCCTTTAATCAGTACTAGCTACTGATATTAATATTACTAATATTTTAAGTTTTGTTTCAATGCAGCCACTATTGAATACAGATGCAGTATAAATTTCTTACTAGACTGTCAGCAACAGAAAATGACTGGGGTGGGGGTGGATAAATAGAGGAGGGCCCAAGTATTGTTGAACCAACTTTGACATGTTAATTTTAACTGAATTCTTTTTGCTTATTGTAAATGAACCTGCCTAAGTTGAGAAAGGAATATCTAGTCCGCATTAAATTTCTAGCCAAGAAACAAAGTGTTCTACTATTTATCCATTAAAACTGCACAGAGGGAAGTAAAACTCAGTGGCTGGTGAAAATCTGGTGAAAATCTAGGTGAAAATCTACCTAATGATTACAATGAACACCACCATATGGGTGATTGGCACACTTTATAACCTTGACTCTAGCATAACAAAAGCGATCTATAGAACCACAAACATTTGTACCCCTGTAATATTTTGAAATAATAAAAAACAATTTAAGGAAAAAAATGGAATGGACATTTATAATTTTCCTGAAACACCTTCCTATCAATTCTACCTTCAGAATTAACAATCTAAGTGGGAGAACAATCACAATTCATGAGCCTGCTCCATGCAGATGTGTTAATTTGATGCACGTGAGGCGTGTTCAGAAATCTGCACAATCTGTCAACAGCCCTTGTTGGAAGTGGGAATGGAAAAATGATCATTTCCTACTGTCAGGAGATAAAGGCACAGCAATGGTGTCCAGGTGGTCTTACTGCTAAGAATGAGTGGTCATTACTTTTCTGTCTGATTAATGACTTAATGACATAAAGAAGCCAATATATCATCCATATCGGTCCTCTCTTTTGTCTTTGAATTCCAAAGACATTCTGATTGCTGATTTTCCCGTCCTCTCAACTTTGCATATATGCATTCATAAATTCATTCTCAACCTTTACTGAGCTGCTATTTACGGTGCAGGTGCTTTGTTCGTGTAAGATATACAAAGAAGAATAAGATGTGTTCTCTGCTCTAAAGATGTATATCCTAGTGAAACAGGGAGAGCTGATTTCTGCATCATTCCTGTAAAGGTGAAATGAAATGATGGGCAAAATGCATCAAGCACTGGGTCTGCTCTGGGTAACTTATCATTTTTATGTCTCCTGCCTTCTTCTAGACTTTTACACTTTTCTCTGTGCTTAACTTTTAAAAACTTTAAACTACAACCTCTTCCATTCCCCTGTTTTCCACTGTCCACATAGTCATCCTTTTCATCAAGGTCTTTGTGAAACCTTATGTTTTGTAGTTGATTCCAAGTACTAAGTTTAGTACCATGTATCCGTTGAACACAGTTCTTTCCATTACTGCTTTCAAAGTCCACCACTTTGATGGAATCTTTTTCAGACTTTACCGGTCAACTTATTTTCTTTCTCCTCTGATTCCTTCTTTCCTAAGGCATGTACGTGAGCAGTGCTGGTGTCTAATTTCTCTCCTTACCACTAGTGCCTGACACAGAGTAACAAACATGCTCTCTCTCTCTCTGCCTCTCTTGTTCCTCCCTCCTTTGACAGCCAAATGTCTTTTTCTCTACAAATGTGATGAACAAAAAAACCTGATTCTAAGGATCTAAGAAAACACATCAGTTAGCTCTGAACATAGCAGAAAATTAAAATGAGATAGAATAGATAAGCAAAATGTGGGAGTGGAGGATTCCCTATTAAGCGCTTGGGGGTTCTGGCTCTGAACAATGAACCGGGTTCGAATTCCATCTCCAAAGATTACTTTCTTTGTGAACTTGTGCAAGTTGCATCAGCTTCTGTTTCTTCATTTGAAAATAAAGATAACAGCAGTTCCTAATGTATGAAGTTGTTGAAAGGACTGACTATGATAATGCATGGAAAGCACTTAGCCCAATGTCTGATCTCTAACAAGTGTTCAATAAATGAATAATACTATTATTATCATCATTATTAAGAAAAGGCAAACACATATTTATGTAAAACAGAAAGCAACTGAAAGGCAACTGAAAAATGTCAGAATTTAGAATCTCTCCCCCAAAATGCAGATAAATCCTTTAAATTGTAATGTTATCAGAGTAAGATAGATACATTTTTTTTATTTTTTCCAGAAAACCATCTATTGCTTTTGATACAAAATAAACTTTAAAAGAAGAAAGTGTTTGATTTTACAAATTATTCTCACCCAAATAACAAAGCACCACAATTTTTTTCTGACATAGAGGTACATTTAAGAGTGTACATTCATATTAATAAACATGAGACAACTACTTCATTCATTTGCAAGTCTGATTGCTCCTTAGAGAGTGCAAGGGGACAATAAGCTTTCCCATCATCAGAGGACCATGACCCAGTTCAGGCAGCTCAAGAAGCAATTTATAAAACCCAGCATCTGCCGCATTCAAACAATTATTTGGCATTCATAATTTTTTTCCATACCAAAGAAACCTTGTCTCTCAGCTATTTTTATATTGTTTATCTCCACTCCTTAAAGAAAGCAGCTTTAGGATCAGCAGCTGATATTGGAAGATAATTCACTAAAACTTAGTCTTAGCTGCGGCTAAGTCCCTTTGTAAGCACGCTACCTTAAGCTCTCAGATGTCTACTGGATAGGAGGTTTAACTCCTTCTCAGTAAAATGGAAGAAACAGTAAGAAAAACAGCACAGTATTTCCCTCCAATAATAAGCAATAGCTATTTTGTTCAGGAAAAGTGATATTTTGACATGGGCACTACAGACCTGAGTCCATAAAGGACTGTGCCATCAGGATGCAGGCGGATCATGCGGTTCTTGACAGTCACTCCGTGCACAAATGACTTCTTATCATTCAGGAAGTAGGTATCGGGCACCCAGAGCTGGTCTGCCACTCTGTTGTCCAGAGTCAAGTTTAAAGGTATTACATTATAGGACAGCCTCTTATCTCTCCAGGCTTGCTGAAAGTACATTGTCAAGGTATAATCCTGTGAATGTAAAAAGAAAAATGGTTACTCTGTATCCAAACAGGCTTGAGAGATAAGCAAACACCTCAATATTTATAAGAAAAAATTATATATGTGGCCGCATCGTATAAATATATCCTAGCCACATGTAGACAAATATTAATTTATTAAACCCATTCTTACTAAGCACTTACTATATGCCAGGTACCATGGTAGGTACTATTAATATGAATACAGAAGTGAAGAGAATATATTCACATGAAGTTTATTATATATTTCCCAGGAAAGATGTAAGGAATAATGCTTAATAATTAATTTGTGTTGCCCAAAGTAGAATATATAGGAGTGTTTTAGGTGATACCTAAACACAGTTTAATAAATAGTCATGTATTTGTTTTCATGTGTACTAAAAAATTAACTAGCACATCAAACCTAAGAGTTCATGAATACATTGTTGCAGTCATTCATTCAATAAATGTTTAATTTGTGCCTAATACTCGACAGGTATACTGTTGAAGTGCTGGGATGAAAGTAGTAAAAAAGACAGATCAAATGCCTGTTCTCTGGCAATTTATAAACAAAGCATAGATAAGTCAAGAGAATGTCAAATAATGCTACATTCTATGAAGCAAATAAAGCAAACTATGAAATATCTAGCTGGAATGGTGAAGAAAAACCTCTCTAAGGAGTTGGCATTGTGCTGAGACCAGATAAGGAGCCCAAACCATTGGCTCTAAGGAGAACACTCCAAGCAGAGGAGCATCTGCAAATACCCTAAGACAGACACGAGCTTAGCATGTCTGAAGAACAGAAAAGTAATCTGCTTGTTAGAGCTTAGTAATTAATATACAGGGAGAGTAAATAGCAGTCAAGAAACTTAGCTTCATAGAATTTACAGCTTACTAAGGAAAGCATGTTTAAAATAGTTTGTTGCAAAGTAATTGATTTATTGCTGTAGTAATTGTAAAGGTTTGTGAGAACTTGATCAGTCCAATCAAGGTGAGTTTCCCAGGGCAGGTGACATTTACACTGAGGCTTACATACATAAACAATATTAACTCAGTCAGTATATCATGAGAATTTTAATGGCAGAATTTTGGATCAGCAGGCTGGGCTTTCAGCTTTTCAGAAATAGCAGGCTGGTATAAAGTGAGCACTGCTCTTCAAGTCCCAACTCTACCTTTCTCAACTCTGTTTCTAGGATGTAAAATTACATACCTTTTTTATGCTTCAGTTCCATTAACTATAATGGAGTTTTTAATACATGCCTGATCTAATCAGAAGATTATTATGAAAATTAAATGTACAACTGAGATGTAATCTGTAAACTACAAAAAGCTATATATTTTCAATACAGCATTTACGTATCTAGTGTGACATATTCTATCCATTAGAGGCCTATGGGTACAATGTAATTGCTCTCTCGCCCTTATTTGAATGAATAAATGAAGGTACAAATATCCATCTGAAAAGGATAATTACAGTTCTATTTTAAAACTAGTTCACAATGCCCTCTTTTAGGGCTTTAAAAAAATCTAGAATCATTATGTCTGCAACCTGAGAGGCTAGCGCAGTGCCTAGGACATAAATAGTGAGCAAATGAATGAATGAATGTCCGATAAGGTATGTATGCCTATTGGATTTCCGCACATATCTGGATAATTTTTTGGATAAAAATATACTTCAGTCAATAGATTCCTGAGTGTTCCTAATCTTTTTTGAGATCTATACATTCTAATTTGGTTATGTCATTTAAAAATATGACTCATAAGATATTATCTGTTATTAACACTGAACAGTTTTCATAGCAAAAATATAATCCCTCTGTAAAAAAGTAAATATTTTCCCTAGCTTCACAAACATACATTTTGACCTCATTCTGAAGTCAATGTAAAAACTTCTAAATTTATAATCAAATTTCTATTCTAACAAAAGATATAATAATATCCTAAAGGTATATTAAACAATTGTTAAAATTGTTAGTGCAATTCACTTTAGTGGATTATTTTAATGAGTGCTTTGGACTGTTCTGCAGCACTATGCTTTAGTAAACAATTAGTCTGAGGATCACTAGAGGAGTATCTTAATTTGTAATAAAAGCAACCTTGAAGATTATGTAACTAGAAAACAGTAAAAGGACTAGATATATTTTTTGCATGCATTACAAATAACCTAAAAATAGGACATAAAAAATAAAATAAGCAATTAATATTGTGCTTCAGAGTATAAATTTAGTGATATCCAATTCTTCCAGATAAAACGGGAAATTTGATTACTAACTCTATTAGAAGATGAAGCTACTTGTATTTCTTTAATAAGCCTTTTAGAGATTTAGGAGAAATAATGCTGTTTGGAAGGTGCTGAAGCTTATCAATCAGCTGAGATGTGTTTGGACACAGGAAATTATATTCTCTTTTGGGCTAAATAAATGGTAATATTGTGAGACACTGCATTACATGTTACCTCCTGTTCCTCGTCAGCATGGCAGTGCCTGCTAAGAAATGCTCCCAGACAGACCCTGGTGATTCTGCAAACTGTCACATCAATTTTCATTTCATTTATTTTTAAATTACACATCATGACACTGTCAAGAAAGGAAGAAGCTCCTGAACCTAAATAAATGTTACTGGACATAAAAGGAAAGAGTGGTCCTATGGTCAACCCTTACCCCTCGGCTCCAATCCACCTTCGAACTTTCATATCGTAAGCATATCCTGTACATTTAACAACTCCACCTTCAGGAAGCTGTCTCAGAGTTGGTTTGTTCAAACTGAAAAACCCTAAATAAACCAATTCTGGGTGCTCTACAATCCATGTCATCACCATATAAGAAAGATTTACGTAATCAAATCTAAAGCCTGCGGCAAAGGCAATATATGTAACCTAAACATTTGTACCTCCATAATATACTGAAATAAAAAAAATTAAAAAAAATTAAAACTAAAGACACTGATTTTCAATACCAAACATGATGGAGTAAGCCCACTATGATTATTGCTTCCACTAATTATAACTGAAAATTCTGGAAGTAATAAAAAAGCAAGGACCTGAGGACTTTGCAAAATATAAAATAGTAGGCAGACTGAGTATGAATCAAAATGTGAAATAGAACACTATGACACTGGGTTACATGTTTGTGTTTTTTTTCTCCTTCTTTTATCTCCTTAAAGTAACATGCATGTACACACAGACACACACACCCCACCCCAAAGCATAAAATGCTTAATAGAGAGATATGTGATCTGCCCATATTAAAATAGTGCAATATTCTTAAGATGTCAATATTCCCAAAATTGACCTATAGATAAAACTTGATCCCAGTCAAACTCCTACCTAGCAATTTTTTTTGTAAATATTGACAAAGGTGATCCTAAAATTTACATGGGGGTGGGGGGGGGAAGGAATAGCCAAAACAATTTTGAAAGGGAAGAACAAGGCTGGAGCACTCACACTATCTCATTTCAAAAGTCACTATTAAGCTACACTAAAACAGTGTGGTAGTACTGACAGAAATGTAGATTGATAAAAGAATCTAAAAATAAACCTACACACCCATATGTTCAACTGATTTCTGACAAAGATATAAAGGCAGTAAATTGGAGAAACTATAATCTTTGCAACAAATGGTCTGGACCAACTGGAACAACTATATCCAAATAAATAGATAGATGACATACAGATAGATAAGACAGATACCCATAGTTGATACCATCCACAAAAATTATTGAAAGTTCAAATGACTCGGAGACTTAAATGTAAAATGTAAAGCTATATAACCTTGAGAAGAAAACGGGAGAAATTTTCCATGACTTTGGGTTAGACAAAGCCTTCTTAGATACAAATTCAAAAGTACAAGCAATGAAACAAAAACTTAGTAAATTGGACCTCAACAAAATTTAAAATCTTTTCTCTAAGAAAGACACTATTAAGAGAGTGAAAATACAAACCATGGACTGGGAGAAAATATTTGCAAATCACGTATCTAACAAAGGACTTGTATCCAGAATATAAAAATCTATAAAGAATTCTCACAACTCAACAAACAATGCAATAAAAATAGGCAAAATATGTGAACAGACACTTAACCAAAGCAGATACACAAATGGTGAATAAGCACATGAAGTGCTTCTCAACATTACTAATCACTGTGGAAAAACAAATTAAAAACCACAATGAGATCTTACTACACACCCTTAGAAAAGCTCAAATATAAACACCAAAAACAATCGACAAATCCAAGTGCTGATAATAATGCACAGCAACTGAAAGTCTTATATATTGCAAGTAGGAATACAAAATTATCAGCCACTTGGAAAACACTTTGACAGTTTCCTATAAATTTAGCATACTTGGAAAACAATTTGACAGTTTCTTATACAGTTAACATATATTTGACACGTGACCTAGCAATCTCACTCCCGTATGCAAACGTTCACAGCAGCTCCATTTTAATTGCCCAAACTAGATTCCATCAGAATGCTCTTCAGCTGATGGAGGGATAATCAAACTATAGTGTATCCATAAAACAGAATACTGCTCAGCAATGAAAATGAACAACTATCAGCAATGGTTTTCAAATACAGAAAGTTAAGTGAAAGAAGCCAGATTCAAAAGAATACATATTATATGATTTCATTGGTGTAACATTCTGGAAAATGTAAAACTATTAGAGACAGAAAACAGATGAGCACTTCCTTGGGATTCAAGATGGGAGAGCAGTTATCTATAAAAGGCCAGCATGAGAAAATGATTTTGGATAATAGAATTATTCTGCATCTCAACTGTAGTGGTGCTTACATTACTGTAGGCATCTGTCAAAAGACAGAACTGTACACCACAATGAGTATATTTTTCTGTAGGTAAATTTTAAAAATGTTAAAACTTCTTAACAACAACAAAAAATCATGGTCTCTGGGGTCGGACACACACAGGTTCATATTCCAGTACTTTCATGTCTCTGTGGTGTGACCTTGAGTGAATCCTTTCAAGTCTCAGCCTGCTTCCAGCTGGAAAAACTATAG